AAGACGAGAAAAAAATAAAAATTAAAATAAATAGGAAGACAAAACTGATAAATAAGATGTTGCAAAAAAGAAAAATACTGATACTACAAAATGATGAAGTACAAGTTGAAATAAGAAGGAAAAATTGAATAAAAAATAAGGAAAGACAAAAGTTTGAAGACGAAGATGGGAAAAATGAACAAAAAAACAAAACAAAAGAAGAAAAGAATTGAAGAATATGTGAATAATAATGAAGTGGAAAAATCAAAAGATAAAAGATGAAGAATAAGAACACAAAGCCAGTTGAAAAACAAACTGTAAATAAAAGGAAGAAAACGAATAAAAACCAGGAAATAAAAAGATATCGATGAAGAGAGAGGAAAAGAAAAAGAGATTATAAATTTTGATAAGAATAAGGAAAAACGGTAGAAAATGAAGGAAAAAATATGAAAGAAGTAAATTTTTTTTTTAAATGGGGTTGGGGTACACGATGTACGGTTTATATTGATTGCGTAAGGTTTAATTTTTGTTGCATTTTTAAAAATTTGAATACACTACATTACCGTTAAAAAAAAATGTTTTAAGAAAAAAAAAATAAAAGCAAATCCATGCGGTTTAGGGGAGAGTTATAACGTGGGGTTTCGGTCTAGGGTGTAGGGTCGTTTGGGGGGGAGAGTTATAACGTGGGTTTGGGTTTAGGGTGTAGGGTCGTTTGGGGGGGGGGGGTGTTACAATGTGGGGTTTAGGGTTTTAGGGTGTAGGGTTTAGTTTTTGGTGCATTTTTAAAAATTTGAATTATTATATAAATCAGAATTATAAATCATTGATTATAACTTTATATCTATCTTTCTAAATTACTTTTACAAATATAGAAAAACTAGAACAATTAAACTAAATCCAGAATCGAAAGATAACAAAGATTTTTAAAAGATCTCAACTATATAAAGATAAAAAAAAATTATTTCATAAATCTTTGAAAATCTAAACTATCAGATGAATTAATAGGTGGAATACAAGACATACACAAGAACTAAAAAAAATACGAGTAAAAGAAAAGAAGTCAATGGAAAAGAAGATGGGAAATATGGAGAGGAAAAAGAAAAAAACTCGAATATGAGGAAAAATAAATCAAAGAAGAAAAAATGGAATGTAAAGAGAAAAAAAGACAAAGAAGAGATAAATAAAAATAGAATAATATGATGTCTCAGTAGACGAAGATGATAAAGATAGAGAGTGAGGTGAATGATGAAGAAGAAAAAACGTAAAAAGAATGTAAAGAAAATTAGAAAGAAAAAGAAGAATAGTAAATTGGAGGATACGAAGACACAAGAAAGGATTGAAGAACGAAAATTTGAAAAAGAAGAAGCGGGAAAAAAAAATGATGACAACGAATAAATAAACGGAAGAAAAAAGAAAAGATGGGATCAATGAAAAATAATAAGAGGTAGAAGAAACCAACCATTACCAAATTTAACTATTTTTTGTGCTTTCACAATTTATAAGTTCTTATCAAATGAACAAAATGTTAAGCTATTACTTCCATGGAAAATAAACACATTACAAAAATATGAAAAATAATTAAAAAGAAAATGCGTTAATCTAATATTAATTGAATTCATGAATTAACAAAATCTAAATCATAGAATGAATTGATAAGTGAAATACAAAACGTAGACAAGAACGAAAAACAAGAGTAAGAGAAAAGAAGACGATGGAAAACAAGATAGGAAACTTTGAGAGGAAGAAGAAAAATTTAACACGAGGAAAAAGAAAAAATGGAATGTGAAGAAAAAAAGGACAAAGAAGAGATAAATAAAAACTATAATAAGATGATGTCAGAGTAGATAAAGATGATAAAGATAGAGAGAGAGAGAGAGGGGAATGAGGGAAAAGAAAAATCGGAAATAAAATGTAAAGAAAATTAGAACGTAAAAGAAGAATAGTGAGTTGGAGGATATAAAGGGACAAGAACCGATTGAAGAACAAAAATTGGAAGATGAAGAAGAAGCAGAAAAAAGAAGATGATGACAATCTATAAAAAAATGAAAGAAAAAAGAAGAAGATAGGATCACTAGATAAAAGGAAGAGAAAACAACAATTAAAAAAAACTTTTATAAATGAAATAAAAATAAAAGCAAATCTAAAACTAATTTGTAATATGAGGTTCAGGTGTGAAGTTGAGGGGGAGTTATAATGTGGATTTGTGGGTTTAGGGTGTAGGTTCTTTAATTTTGGGGGAGGAGGGGTTTATAATGTGGAGTTTGGGTTTAGGGTTTATATTGATGGGTGTAGGGTTTAGATTTTGGTGCATTTTTAAAAATTTGAATTATTATAAAAATCACAATTATAAATCATTGATTATAACTTGATATCTACCTTTCAAAATTACATTCACAAATAGAAAAAAAACTATAACAATTAAAGCAAATCCAGAATCGAAAGATAACAAAGATTTTCAAAAGATCTCAACTATATAAAGATTAAAAAAAACTACATCATAAATCCTTGAAAATCTAAAGTATCAGATGAATTGATAGGTGGAATACAAGACGTACACAAGAACTAATAAAAATACGAGTAATAGAAAAGAAGTCAATGGAAAAGAAGATGGAAAATATGGAGAGGAAAAAAAAGAAAACTCGAATATGAGGAAAAATAAATCAAAGTAGAAAAAATGGAATGTAAAGAGAAAAAAAGACAAAGAAGAGATAAATAAAAACTAGAATAATATGATGTCTTAGAAGACGAAGATGATAAAGATAGAGAGTGAGGGGAATGAGGAAGAAGAAAAAACGTAAAAAGAATGTAAAGAAAATTAGAAAAAAAAGAAGAATAGTAAGTTGGAGGATATGAAGACACAAGAAAGGATTGAAGAACGAAAATTTGAAAAAGAAGAAACGGGAAAAAAAAGATGATGACAATGAATGAATAAATAGAAGAAAAAAAAGAAAATATGGGATCAGTAAAAAAGAATAAGAGGGAGAAGAAAACAATCCATTACAAAATTTAACTAATTTTTTTATGCTTTCACATTTTATAAGTTCTTATCAAATTAACAAAATGTAAAGCTATTACTTTCCATGGAAAATAAACACATTACAAAAATATGAAAAGTAATTAAAAAGAAAACGTGTTAATCTAATATTAATTGAATTCATGAATTAACAAAATCTAAACTATCAAATGAATTGATAAGTGAAATACAAAACGTAGACAAGAATGAAAAACAAGAGTAAGAGAAAAGAAGACGATGGAAAACAAGATAGGAAACTTTGAGAGGAAGAAGAAAAATTTAACACGAGGAAAAAGAAAAAATGGAATGTGAAGAAAAAAAAGACAAAGAAAAGATAAATAAAAACTATAATAAGATGATGTCAAGAAGACGAAGATGATAAAGATAGAGAGAGAGAGGGGGAATGAGGGAAAAGAAAAATCGGAAATAGAATGTAAAGAAAATTAGAAAGAAAAAGAAGAATATTGAGTTGGAGGATATAAAGACACAAGAACCGATTGAAGAACAAAAATTGGAAGATGAAGAAGAAGCATAAAAAAGAAGATGATAACAATGAATAAAAAATGGAAGAAAAAAGAAGAAGATAGAATAACTAGAGACGAATAAAAAGGAGAAGAAAATAACCATTAAAAAATTTTATAATAAAATAAAAATAAAAACAAATCTAAAACTAATTTGTAATATGAGATTCAGGTGTGAAGTTGAGGAGGGAGTTATAATGTGGATTTGGGTTTAGGGTGTAGGTTCTTTAATTAGGGGGAGGAGGGGTTTATAATGTGGAGTTTGGGTTTAGGGTTTGTATAGATGGGTGTAGGGTTTAGTTTTTGGTGCATTTTTAAAAATTTGAATTTTATAAAAGTATGTCAAAATTAAAAATCACTGATTATAAATTTATATCTACCATTTAAAATATACTGACAAATAGAAAAATAAAAATAAAACAATGAAAGCATAACCATAATCAAAAATAACAACACAAATTAATTAGATTTTAAAAAGATCTCGACTATATAAAGATAAAAATTATTTTACGAATCCTTGAAAATCTAAACTACTAAATGAATTGATAAGTGAAATATAAGACGTAGACAAGAAGAAATAAAAACACGAGTAGAATAAAAGAAAACGGTGGAAAAGAACTTTTCAACCGATCTAGATGAGAAACTTCGAGAAGAAGAAGAAAACTCAAGAGAAAAAATAAAACAAAGAAGAAGAAATGTAATGTGAAGAGAAAAAAAAGACAAATAAGAAAGAAATAAAAACTAGAATAAGATGATGTCAGAAAAGACGAAGATGATAAAGATAGAGAGTGAGGGGAATGAGGAAGAAGAAAAAACGTAAAAAGAATATAAAAAAATAGAAAGAAAAAGAAGAATAGTAAGTTGGAGGATATGAAGACACAAGAAATGATTGAAGAACAAAAATTTGAAAAAGAAAAGCGGGAAAAAAAAGATGATGACAACGAATAAATAAATGGAAGAAAAAATAAAAGATGGGATCAGTGAAAAAGAATAAGAGGGAAAGAAAATGACCATTACAAAATTTAACTATTTTTTTTTTCTAGATCTTTCATAGTTTATAAGTTCATATCAAATTAACAAAATGTTAAACTACTAATTCTTTGGAAAATAAACACATTACAAAAATATGAAAAGTAATTAAAAAGAAAATGCGTTCATCTAATATTAATTGAAAGGATTTGGAATTCTAAAACATATGTTGCCCGCGCAGGCGCGCGGGCGAACCACCTAGTGTAAATTAAAGGCGGAAACTTTACAGAATACTTGAAACTGCGGAAAGACCCCAAAAGGTTTTAACATTTCACTAGAAAACCCATGAGGCTTCAAATTCGAGATCCGAACGTAAAGAGAAACGGCCCAACCGCCTAAGGAAAGAACACACTTTTTTTTCTAGTGAAATGTTGACAAAACCCACCTGGTTCCGTTGTACTGCCAGAGGAGTGATCAATTTGAACCTAGCTCCGATTATCCAGGAAATGATCTTGTAAATGGTATTACAAAGGGAAATAGGTCTGAACTGGGTGAGTTTAACTGCTCCTGGGATCTTTGGAATCAGAGAAATCACCGTTGAATTTGCTTGCCGCAATAAAGCCGGATTGACGAAGAAATCCTTAACCGCACTGATCACATCTTGTCCTACCAGATCCCAAGAAGTGGTAAAGAATTCGGCAGTAAAACCATCCGGGCCTGGGGCCTTGTTCTTGGGCAGGGCAAAAACTGTGTTTTTTATCTCTTCGTCTGTAGGAATCAAGGAGAGCTTGGTGGACAAGGTTCCATTGCACCGGAAAGGGTGAATCTCCTTTAGTTGCTGAATAGAGGGAGAACGCACATTCTGATTCGCAGTTCCCAGCAGATTCATATAAAACCCGAGACCATACTCTTAAGCAGTGAAGAATCCGACACCTTGACATCTTCCTCATTCCTCAAGTAATGGATCACATTTCTCGCTAAGTTTGCTGTGACCGCCTTATGGAAATAACCCGTATTCGAATCCCCTTCCTTTAACCACCTGACTCTGGACTTCTGGTGGAAAAAGGATTCTTCTGCAGCAGCTAGTCGTATCCACAGCAACCTAGCTGCATTCTCTTCCTCAAAGACTGCTTGGTTTTGAGTAGTTAGAACCCTTCTCTGAATTTCTTCTAGATGTTGGAAAGCTTCCTTCGTTCGGTTTTGAATATTGCTGAAAGATGATCTATTCAAGGATTTGCAACAAAATTTTGCACTGCGCAATCTCTGATATAGATAGAACATCGGATCCGCTGGTGAGATGGGAGAGGTCCAAGCTTCAGCCATAAGTGAATGATAGTCTGGGTGAGTTGTAAGGAACACTACAACAAATATGGGTATTAATAGCAGACGGAAAACGCTATCATATGGGTTAGATAGCGTGTGTATAAACGCTATCATCTCCGACGCTATAATAGAGTACCCACCTATGATAGCGTTTCTGGTCAGGTGCTATCGTAGCCCTAGTCTACAATAGCGGTTTACAAATGTCGTTGTTTCATTGAACACGGCACAAATATGACGTTATGGTTTACAGTTTTACAGCGCTCTATTATTGTTATAGTAATATTTGTAGTAGCGACTGTTTCGTGCTATATCAATAATTCTTGTAGCTTATTTTGTGCGCTATTTCAAACTCTTCTATGGCGTTACATTCCCGCTGTTATTATATGCACTGTAGCTCATACATTATGCTACAAGTTAGCCAAACAATGGCTGCATAATTTTGCCATATAAAAAGTATATATTCCTGAATATGGTTTTAGAAATCGACATGCTGAAACTGAAATAGAAACTGAGAAGATGATTGATTCAAAATTTATTGCATAGTAGAAAAATTCAGAGTCAAAGAAACATTACAACATAGTACTTAAGTTTAATCTTGCAAAGGGAACATATTTGTACTGTCTTAATTCCCAAACAAAGCAAATCCCAACAGATATGAGCTTCCTCGGTGCCATCTCTTCCTTCAAAACAGATTAAAAGACAATGCGACTGAGATATTTCAACAAATAAGAACATGAAGAACCAGAAACACCGAGATAATTCAAACTAACTGATATGAGCTTGTTCCCGTGAACGAGCTCTAGTAATGGGACCTAGGTAAGCAATGGTTAACACAAGAGAATTGAAGACACAAGCTTCCTCTTAACCCTAAGCTCTTTTCGAGATTAAGGTCAATGTTTGGAAGATGATTCATTCATAACAATGAGAGAGACTTATATAGCTCTCGTACAATGCTCCTAAGAAATTAAGAAAAGGAAAAGCTTTGCTTAAAAGAAAACACTAAAACCGACTCTTAAATAGAAAAGGAAAACTTCTAAATCTTAATGTTTCTGTCTACGGTACATGATACCATAGCGTGTATCATTACTCCCCTCCTCGACTAGGAGCTTGTCCTCAAGCTCCAATTCCGGATATGCCTCGATCAGCTTCTTTGCATCCTCCCAAGTACATGTGTCCACGGCATCTGTCCATTGAGCTAGGACTTGTCTTGTCTTCCCTTGTTGTCTAGCACGCAGAAGCTTGACTGGTTTAGCTGGTACCACACGTCCCTGCAAAACTGGTGGTAAAACAGGACAGCTTGTTGGTGGTTCACCTCTATGTGGTTTGAGCAGGGAGACATGAAAAACGTCATATATCCTAGACCCTTCAGGAAGCTGCAACCAATATGAAACTGTGCCAATTCGAGCTAGTACTTCAAATGGTCCATAAAATTTCGGAGAGAGTTTGGTGAAGGCTTTTCGAGCTATAGTTAACTGTCTGTATGGCTGAATCTTTAACCAAACCAAATCGCCTTTGTTGAACTCAAGTGAACGATGATGGTTGTCATAAACAGCTTTCATTCGTTGTTGAGCTTCAAGTAACCTTTCTCTTGCCATCTCTAGGAACTCATCCCGTTGTTCCAAAGCCACATCAACTTCATCCAACTGAGAACTCCCTGCCGTATAATCAAGAAGACGAGGTGGGTCTCTGCCATAAACAAGTCGAAATGGTGTTGTCTTGAGACTTGTGTGAAAGGATGTGTTATAACAATATTCCACCCATGGAAGCCATGTGAGCCATTTACGCGGTGCATCCCCTGTAACACATCGTAGATACATCTCAAGAGTTCTGTTAACAACTTCTGTTTGCCCATCAGACTGAGGTCTATATGCTGTAGTGAAACACAAGTTAGTACCGAGCAGCCTGAATAATTCTCGCCAAAATAAACTACGAAACACCTTGTCGCGATCAGAAACAACTGAAATAAAATCGAACAATATCTTGGAAGAATGCCTGAGCAACTGAAACTGCAGTATATGGATGACTTAAGGGAATAAAATGAGCATACTTGGAGAATCTGTCAACCACGACAAGAATAACTGTTTTTCCTGAGACTTTTGGCAAGGCTTCAACAAAATCCATCGAAATGTCAGCCCAAATTCTAGTTGGTACTGTCAGTGGTTGCATTAATCCAGCTGGTTGGAGAGTCTCCCATTTGTTTTTCTGACAAACCTGGCAATTGGCGATGAAATCTTTAACTGTTTGTTTCCAGCCTGTCCAATAAAAATCACGCCGGATCATTTCCATTGTTTTCTGCACACCTTCATGCCCAAAGTTGTGGAATCCAGCAACTACTTCTTGAACTAAGGAAGATTGTGCATCAATATAAGCCTGGCCGTTGCGAAAAATCAGTCCATCACGAGCCTCCCAAATTGACGATTCTTCACCACGAATTATTTTGTCTCTTAATTCGCTGAGGTTGTGATCATTATTGATCTCAAGACGAAGCCGTGCAAGAATTCCTTTGTCTGAACGATTTAAGGCATGTATGTCATAAGCTTCTTCTTCATTCGAATCACTCCTTCTAGACAAGGCATCTGCCACCTTATTTGTCTTACCAGAGCGATACTCAACCTCAAAATCATATCCAAGAAGCTTACTAATCCAATGAATCTGAGGAGACGTTGAAAGCCGCTGCTCAAGAAGAAATTTGAGGCTATAGTGATCTGTACGGATGAGAAAACGTCGACCCCATAAATAAGGTCTCCAATGTATGACGGCTTTAGCTAGACCAATCAATTCTCTTTCATAAGCGGCTAACTTGTGATGTCTTTCTGCCAGCTTGCGACTAAAAAACGCGATTGGATGGTCTTGCTGTTGTAGCATTGCGCCAATGCCGCTTCCCGAGGCGTCACACTCAACAATGAAATCCCTTGAGAAATCAGGAAGAGCTAAGACCGGTGACTCCGACAATGATCTTTTCAACGTTATGAAAGCTTTATTAGCCTCTTCGTTCCATTGAAACCCAGTTTTCTTCAAGAGTTGCGTCAACGGAGCTGCAACAGCTCCATAGTCTTGAATAAATTTTCGATAATCCCCTGAAAGACCGAGAAATCCATGAACAGCTTTGACGGATGCAGGCTGTGGCCACTTCATTATAGCTTCTATCTTTGCGAGATCAACCTTCACTCCTTCTCTGGAAATTACATGACCCAAATAACCAACTTCTTGTTTTCCAAACGAGCACTTGGCCTGTTTAAGCAGCAGCCCATTTGCCTTCAGTAGCTCCATAACACTTTCCACATGTTGAAGATGTTCCTCCCACGTTCGGCTATAGATCAAGATATCATCAAAAAACACTAATACGAACTTCCGTAATAACTTGAGAAACACCGAATTCATGAGCCCTTGGAAAGTTGAAGGTGCATTTGCAAGGCCAAAAGGCATAACTAGGAACTCATAGTGCCCCTGATGTGTTCGGAAAGCAGTTTTCTCCACATCTTCTTGATGCATCCTGATTTGATGGTAGCCTGATGCAAGATCTAATTTTGTAAAAAAGCGAGCTCCGTGTAGCTCATCAAGCAGCTCGTCAACTACCGGTATTGGAAACTTGTCTTTGATGGTGATTTTATTTAGACTTCGATAATCTATGCAAAAACGCCATGTGTTATCTGGCTTTTTGACCAACAACACTGGGGAAGAGAATGGAGAGCTGCTTGGTCGGATAATGCCGTTGCGAAGCATCTCTCTACATTGTCTTTCTATCTCATCTTTCAACAAGTGGGGATAGCGATAAGGCCGCACTGCCACGGGGTTTGATCCTTGTAATAACCGAATTTTGTGATCACAATCTTGTTGTGGAGGAAGTCCCACCGGTTTTTCAAATACCTCTGCAAACCTCTTTAAAATCTCAGCAAGTGAATCTGGCGCAAGATCAGAAGTGATTGACCAAAGTTGTTGTTTTGCTTGTCCGTTAGATAGAGGAAGAACAACCCCTGGTGTGGTAAAGACTTCTTCCTCTTCTTCTGAAAACCATTGTTCTAGAGATTCATTGGTGTTGCTGATAGCATGTAAGGAGGCTTGACTGCTTTCTCTAACCTCTGCTTCTCCATGCCATACCACAGTTTCTGGTCCTTTTTGAAATTCAATTGTCCTGCTTGGACCATCCCAAACCACTCGACCTAGTGCATTCAGCCATCAGCCGTGATTTGATGGAATGGCAAAGCAATCAGCCGTGATTTGATGTCCTTGGACATTCATTGCTAAGCCTGGACACAACCCATCGATAGGGCAACGTCCCCCATCTGGAAGCGTTACAAAGCGACCTGATCTTTTAATCATATGAAGGTCTAGTCGTTCCACCATACTGCTCTTGATAAAATTATGGGTACTTCCTGTATCCAGCAGTACCCATCCTTCCCCAGTAGAAATAACAGCTCTCACCTGAAAAGTCTTCTCATTCTGTTCCCCGTTCATTGCATTCAATGAGATTTCGAGCTCCTCCTCTTCGTAAGGTTCGTCGTCTTGATTTTCGCCTTCAGAAACGAGCCGAACATGGAACAGAACTGGATTGCAAGTATGACCTGGTGTATAAGAGTCATCACAGTTAAAACAGAGCCCTTTAGCCTTTCGCTCTGCTATCTCTGCAGCAGTTAGTTTTTTCCAAACCAGTGATGGCTTCTGTTTTTGCCCTGAAATGCGAGGTCTTGCGTCCTGTCCACGGTTAAAACCTCCTCCAAAGGTTTTTGTTGGTTGGGCCAGATGTCCCCCAAATGTACGAGTACGTTTGTCGTTATCTATCTTGTACTCGTTGTCACGCGCATACTCCATTGCGGCAAAGATCGTTTCGGGTCTGAGGTACTGCACTTCTTTTCTCAGACTGTCAGTCAAACCAGCACAGAACTGCCACAATTGTTGCTCTCCTGTGAGTCGTGTTTGCCTTCCCAGACATATCTCAAACTGTTTACAATACTCATTAACGGTTCCAGTATGTCGAAGGTTAGATAATTCGCCCACTGGATTAACAGAATCAGCTTTGCCAAAACGGCTTTTGCAAATCCTTTTGAACTCCACCCAACTCAGTTTGCCAGTAGCTAAGCGCCGGAGATTGGTGTTCCAATGATAAGTCTGACCCGTTAAAACAAATGTGGCCTGGCGAATTCTGGCCTCATCACTAAAGATCCTCTAATCTGTAAAATAGTCATCACACTTCTGCAACCATTCAACAGCATTCGTTGTACCATCATAAGGTGGAAACTCCATCTTTGCAGTAGAAAAACCACGACTTTCTGGACTGAGACCCCTTTCACGATGAGTATCATAACCCTTTTTCCTTGTTCTTTCTTCTGTCACCCGAAAATCACCATGAGAAGAAGCTTGTTGATGATCGTAGATGGTGTTTCCTATTTGTGTCAGTCTCCAGTCACCACGACCGTCTGCGTGACGAGTTCCTCGCTCCTTGCCCACCGGCCCTTGGGGCCATGGTCCACCAGAGAATGGAGAAGTTGGCTCTTCCCTTATCTTAGCTTCTCCTCCGTGTAACAATTGAGATACGGCTGGCGTGTGACTTGTGGCTCCTGCTTCTGGAGACGTAACCACTTTTTGCCCCTTTGTTTGATGCATTATTTCCACATCGGAGAGATCTGCAGTTGTGAATTTGACCACGTTTTGTTTTCTAGGTTGTCCATGAGCTGCAGTCAATGCATCAATAGAAGTTTTTTGGCTCCTGGATTCTTCTTTAAGTGCTTGGGATTCTTCTTTAAGAGCTCTGGTTTCTGCGGCAAGGTTCTTGACTTCAACCGTGAAGTTGTTCATATGCTCCATGATGAGCGCCAGCTGCGCTGCAAGAGACGCGTTGTCCGTCATCGGATCGAGAGTCTCTGATACCAAATTGATATGAGCCTGATGTTTGCGTTTTCTGATGTTGTTTGTTGTCTTTGCAGGACCGTCCAGGCGAGCGAGACCGAACGGTGAACTCAAGGAGAAGTTTAGGCTGCTGAAGGAGCTTCAGCCATCGATTGTGGCCTGAGGTAGTGGCGGCGCTTGAGAAGAAAAGCAAGAGAGGAAAGATAAGAGGGAGGGAAAGACAAATCTGCCATCCCTGCGACTCCGATATCCAGTAAGCGTTTTGCTTCTTTCTTTTTTACTTGGTTCATCTTCGGGTATCTTAACGTTTCGCTTTGTTTTAGCAGCGAAGCCATCCCGTTCTAAGAAGAAATCGATGGGTCTTAGGAAGAGAGCGGCCGTGCCTATTGACGACGTTGTCGTTGCTTCCGAGCCGGCGCCCAAAAAGAAAGGGTCGAGTCCCCAGACTGAGGGATTCTCCTCCTTCTCCCCTTCGGAGCTCTTCCATTGCGTCGCGTACGAGGTAAGTCGCCTATTGATGGATTTCAGGAGATAGGAATTCCGATGTTAATCGTAGACGTTCTTTGCAGGGCTTCGACGAGGAAAGCCTCGACTTCTGTTCCTGAGGGCGTTCCGGAGCAAGTGATCGAGCTTGACTCTCCTCCTTCCTCGGACCATGACGAGTCTTCCCATCACGATGAGAGTGCTTCTCATCACGATGATGGTTTGAGGACTCCGGCGCGTGGTGGTTCGCCTTCTAAGGGGGATGAGTTCCTCACCCCTGGTGGTGGCGTTCCCTCCTCTGACCGGCGTGATCGTGGTGGTTTCGAAGGAGGGGAATCATCTCGGCGTCCAGGTGAGAATGATGAGGCGGTGTCTCGTCACTCGGAGGCGGGTGGTTTTGCTCCTGGCTCGAACCTCGGTGCTGAGGGTGGCCGGAATCCAAAGGATGGTCCGTGGTGGAATGGCGGGAGTCCTCTTATGGAGGACCAGGATGCTTGCGGAGGGGCGACTTGGATGTCTAAAGTTCATCCCGGCTTGGGGATTCCGCGTGAGGAGCTCACCTTTAGGACCGATTTCGACGAAGCTGCTCAACATCATATTATGTCTGGCGGGAAGTTCACCGCGTTGGTCCAGAAGTACGAGACGGCGCTTCGGGCAGCTAAGGACGAAGCCTTTGTGTTGCGGCGAGAGCGGGAGATGGCCAAGGATGTCGATACAATGGTGGCTGATTTGCAGCAGGATAAACTGGTGCTTGAGTCGAAGGTCGCGGCGCTGAACAGGGAGATAGTGAAGACTCTCGGACTCCAGGAGGTAGCAGACAAGCTGAGGGCTCAAGTGAGTGATCTGGAGGAGAAGGCGCGTCGGGATGCAGAGGCTTCTGCTGCTGAGATGGAGCGTCTCCGACGGTCTCGTCGAGAATCGGTCGAGGCGGCTGTGACTCAGGTCTTCGACTCGGTGAATGACTGGTATGCTCCTCGTCTCCATCGCTTGTCGGAGTTCGTCGCGCAGCGGGACATGGTTGAAGCCGCTGTGGGGAGGAGGCAAGTCGACGAAGCTCTCCTCAACTTCGTGAAGAAGATTCGGGGAGTGGATCTGAACTTCGACGCGATGGAGGAGAAGCTCGCGGCTAAGCTGGCGAAGAGCATCGCGGATGGGGATGCGATTGACGAAGTTGTTATCGATGATGATGACTTCGCTCCGCCTAACAGGTGAGATTTTTGCTTCTCTTTGTTATGTCGTGCTTTGCGTAACGTTATGTTTGCTTATGTGTTTGCTCTGCTTTTGTAGCCTTAAACGGCTGGTGCTGCCGGGATCTCCTTCTCGTCGAGATGGTGGTGGTGCGGATCCGGGTGCGGGACCCTCTACTTCTGGGGCCAAGTCTGCTTAGGCCCCATTTTATTTGTTTTAAGACTTTTTGGCTGCGGCCTTTTTGTTGTAATAACATTGCCTGGGAAGGTTTTTATCCGTATGCTTTAGGATTTGTGCTTCAGATTTATGCTAGATACTCAAGATGTTTTAAGTATTGATTTTTTTTTTGCTTGCGTGCTTGCGTGGTGATGCGGTCACGGCTTTTAGACATAATTGATTAGTTCGCAGCGCAACGAAAGTAATCCGGCTTTTGGTTATGTCTTTTAATAAAGGACGATGGTGTCGTCAACCGCATAAAATGAATTAAGTACTTGGTCGTCACCGAGTAGGAAATTCGATTATCGGGATGACTCGTTACCTTTAAGTGTATCACGACATGGTGCGCGTGATGGTGCTAGTGCGTCATGACTGACGCGATGCTTTCGGGTTTCGTCATGACTTCTCATTCGAGACACCGACCGGCGCGTATTAGGTCTGTGTGCTTAGGATGTTAAACCTACTTTCAGCGACGAGCTCTAGAAACTCGATTTATGCTTCCGACTTCAAAGCTTCGTGCGGGTGACGAGGTAGCGGTTTTTCGCTCGTCCGACGAACTGAGAGCCGTGCGAGGTGCGTGCTCTCGGCTTAATGAATGGGTGATCAGTCCATGTTTTTAGGGTGCAAAGTGCAAGTGCTTATTGAGTTTGCCTCAATAACTTGGTTTGACGTCAAACGGGTGCGTGCTGGGTGTCGACAAGTTTCAGCTTATGCCAGAATGAGGCGCGCTTGTCGAGAGAAAAGGTTTTAATAAAATTAAAATTTTATTAAGTATTATAGCTGCGCCCTTATGAGAAAGGCTGCCTACGTACCCGTGCCGGGATCAAGCCATTCGTAGTTCGTTACAAATGTTCATGCCATGGACATGTCTTTTTTTTTTGGCTAGCGCGGTGCTTCGCGTCTAGTCATGGAACTTGCGCAGATCCGACGAGCTCCAGAGGCGATCGGACGTGATGCCTAGGTTGTCTTCTAGCTGATAGACTCCTGGTTTGACGACTTTCGCGATGCGGAATGGTCCTTCCCAGTCGGAGCCGAATTTGCCGAGACCATAGATCGTATCATCATCGGTTTTGCAAAAGACGAGGTCGTCTAATGCGAAACGGAGGTGTTGCTTTAGGAAAGCGGCTGCTAGATCGTCGAAGCTGTCGATGGAGTCGGCACGGAGGTTGCTGAACCATGTTAGGGCGTCGCCGCGCAAGTGTTCGGCGAGGGCTTGGCAGAAGTGCGCGCTTTGTTCTTCCGGCGATGTGTATTTCTGTCTTCTCATGGCCGTCATGAAGGATGTGATCCACTGCTTGGGATCTTCTCGGCCGTCGTAGAAGTTTAGGTGTAGTGAAGCGCGCTTCTTCAGTGGTACCTCGGATAGGCGGCTTGTCAGGGGAGTTCTTCGAATATCGGCAATGATCTCGAATATCTCCTGATCGGAGAACGAGCATTGCGGGGGTGCATGGCGATCAGTCTTCGCGCGATTCTCCATGTTTCTCCTGGTCTCGTCATCGTAGACAGGGGTGTCGTCTCGGCGAGGGAGAGATTCGTGATGGCACCTTGGTGCTTTATGCGTGGACTTCTCCGGGCGAGAGGATGATGACTTTCTCTTGTTTCTTAGCCGGAACCGAGGATCTTCGGGGTCGAACCGTAGCTGCGGGATGTCTTGCTCGAGGCGAATGTAATTCTCAGCGCGAAGGAAGGCGTCCTTCAAAGTTGGGGAGGGGCGGATGCGGATATCTTCCCAGAATCCGGATTCGTATCGAAGTCCGTTTCCGAGGGCTTGGACGAGTACCGGTTCCGCGATTGGGGGTGCTCCCGGAATGTCCCTGAGGTCGAGCAGCGCACTCTTGAATCTGTTCAGGTAGCTTCGTAGCGGTTCGTCCTCGAGTTGCTCCATCTCGAATAGATCGGAGAGATCCTTGTGTTTAGTGCTAAAGCTGGACCTTAAGTCGGATTTCCAGGCGGGCTCGGAGTTCCTTTGCCGATGGATCGGGGGATCTGCATTCTGCGTTGCGGGGCTCGTTTTATTGCGTTGGACTCGTTGGTCTCGTCGTCTGATACTGGCTCGGTTATCATACAGGACGACGCGGTGCGGAGCTTGCGCTCGCGAAGGAAACATGATCTCGTCACTCTTTGATCTCCACGTAAGGTGAAAATTCCAGAGGGTATCGGAAACTTCACGCATTGGTGGAACGTCGAGATGACAGCTTTCATTTCATGGAGCCATGGGGTGCCGAGGATCGCGTTATAGATGGCCGGTTTGTCCATGACGATGAACTTCAAGAGCTTTGAAATTCCGCCGACATAAACGGGGAGCCGGACTGTGCCACAGCTGTAAACATGCTCGGCGGTGAAACCGGTGAGGGGACGGGATGTAGGTTTGATAGATCCTTCCTCCACTCCCATGCGGTTCAGTGTTTCCAGAAAGATGAGGTTCACCGTGCTCCCGGTGTCAACCAGGACCTTCGCGACGTCAGTCGTGGATCTGTAGAGTGATTACGAGTGGGTCGAGGTGAGGGATGTCCAGCCCGCTCGCATCCTTATCCGTAAAGGAGATGTAGGGATCCCTTTATGGATATACGGGTAGCGTTGTGCCGCGACGGCCTTTCGTTCGTATTCCTTGATCGCCGATATGGAATCGTCGTTATCCAGGAGGCCTCCCATGATCATGCTGACTTGTCGCTTCGGTGGTGGAGGTAGGTCGTCGTGGTCATCACGATTCCTTTTCCCAAGCGGGGCTTCCGCCTTTTCTGCATCCTTCCTCGGACGGGGTTGTCGTCCGCGCTTCTCCTGCTGCCCAGATTTTGGTGGTCTCGGCGGGAAGCTTTTTCCTTGGGACCTATCGCCGTCCATTGGCGGGATTTCTCCTCGATGGTACATGCGCATGAGGTTGCTCATTAGGTGTTTGCAGTTTTCAGTGGCGTGGCCAGTTCTCCCGTGGAACTTGCAGAAAGCTTTGGTATCGTTGTCATCTCCGAGCGAGTTGATGTCTTGTGGCATCGAAACGGCCGCTGCGTGTTCTTGCTCGAACTCGTCGTCGGCTGCTGCGAACGCTTGAGGAGAGACCTCTTCGGATCGTGTCTTCTTCGTGCCTCCATGGGTTCCTCTCTGGGTTTCGACGAGGTTGCCCTCCTATCTCCATGTTTCTCGGCGTAGAAGCGCTGGTCTTCCTCGAGGAAGATGTAGTTCCGAGAGCGGTGGAACGCGTCCTCCAGAGTCGCAGGGGGTTTTAGTGACAAATCCTCCTTAAACTTGGAGTCGTACCAGAGGCCGTTGCGGAGTGCTTCCAGCGGGACGCTATCGGGCATGTCGCCAGTATCGCGAGCTGCTTGTTTGAACCTTTCCATAAAGCTGCGCAATGGTTCGCCTTGGGTTTGCGTTGTGGTGAACATGTTCCGAGTGATTCGGGTCATGTGCATGGAGTAATGCTTCAGAAAAGCATTGGTTAGGTCGTCGAAGTTATCGATCGACTCGGCGGGGAGGTTAGAGAACCAGGTCAAGGCATCTTTCGCCATGTGCTCGACGAATACTTGACAGTAGTTGGCCTCCCTTTCATCGTAAGATTTGTATTTCTCCCTCCTCATGGCGAGGTTGAACGCGGTTAGCCACTTCTTGGGGTCTTCTTCGCCGGTGTAAGAGTCGATTTTGAGTCGAACTCTTTCGTGTAGCTCGATCTGGCGGAGCCTGCGGGTGAGCGGGCTTCTTCGGGTGTCGGCGAGTGCTTTCGTCAATTCCGGAGCTGAGCTGGTGGCGCGATGAACTTTCGAATCGACCTCGTCGAGGCGACGATTCATCCGTTCGAGCTCTTGGTGGTAAGTCGCCTGAAGTGCGCGGGACGGGGGGTTGTTCCGTCAGTGGGACTTGACGGATCTTCATCGTCTTCTCGTGCTAGGGCTTCCACCTGTTCCTGAGTCTTTTTCTGCTGTGCTCGCATTGACTCGAAACCGTCGGCGAGCGGCTTGACGAGATTCTCCATGAGTTTGAGGATCTTCTCGCTCGAGGAGGATTTCTTCGAGCTGCGGGGTTTGTCGCTCGAGGAAGATTTTCTCGAGCGGCGTGGTGCGGACGGAGGGGGGCTCTCGTCCTTTCTTGGCGGAGGGGATCGTTGCGGCGAAGTAGATCTTCGCGGCGAGACGGATCTCTGTGGCGAGAAGATGGTTTCTTGTAGGGAAGGCTTGTCCCTACCTTCAGCGGGTAGCGACTTGTCTATCGTGCTGGTAGACTGTCGCTTAAGTTTTCTTCTGAGGGAGACGGGCTCCCGGTGGGAGTGTTCTCTTTCGAGTTCGCCATCGTTGCTAGTTCGTGAAAATCTAGATATCTTCGAGATGAATAGCGAGAAGCGTTTCCAGCCCCACGGTGGGCGCCAATTGTTGAATCCGAGATAGCACTCGTCAAGACGGGCTATCTAAAGATGTGAGTTTAGGAAACTGGAACGCTTAATTCGACTCTTAGATTATCAAGAAGATTACAAGAGANTAGATAGAGGAAGAACAACCCCTGGTGTGGTAAAGACTTCTTCCTCTTCTTCTGAAAACCATTGTTCTAGAGATTCATTGGTGTTGCTGATAGCATGTAAGGAGGCTTGACTGCTTTCTCTAACCTCTGCTTCTCCATGCCATACCACAGTTTCTGGTCCTTTTTGAAATTCAATTGTCCTGCTTGGACCATCCCAAACCACTCGACCTAGTGCATTCAGCCATCAGCCGTGATTTGATGGAATGGCAAAGCAATCAGCCGTGATTTGATGTCCTTGGACATTCATTGCTAAGCCTGGACACAACCCATCGATAGGGCAACGTCCCCCATCTGGAAGCGTTACAAAGCGACCTGATCTTTTAATCATATGAAGGTCTAGTCGTTCCACCATACTGCTCTTGATAAAATTATGGGTACTTCCTGTATCCAGCAGTACCCATCCTTCCCCAGTAGAAATAACAGCTCTCACCTGAAAAGTCTTCTCATTCTGTTCCCCGTTCATTGCATTCAATGAGATTTCGAGCTCCTCCTCTTCGTAAGGTTCGTCGTCTTGATTTTCGCCTTCAGAAACGAGCCGAACATGGAACAGAACTGGATTGCAAGTATGACCTGGTGTATAAGAGTCATCACAGTTAAAACAGAGCCCTTTAGCCTTTCGCTCTGCTATCTCTGCAGCAGTTAGTTTTTTCCAAACCAGTGATGGCTTCTGTTTTTGCCCTGAAATGCGAGGTCTTGCGTCCTGTCCACGGTTAAAACCTCCTCCAAAGGTTTTTGTTGGTTGGGCCAGATGTCCCCCAAATGTACGAGTACGTTTGTCGTTATCTATCTTGTACTCGTTGTCACGCGCATACTCCATTGCGGCAAAGATCGTTTCGGGTCTGAGGTACTGCACTTCTTTTCTCAGACTGTCAGTCAAACCAGCACAGAACTGCCACAATTGTTGCTCTCCTGTGAGTCGTGTTTGCCTTCCCAGACATATCTCAAACTGTTTACAATACTCATTAACGGTTCCAGTATGTCGAAGGTTAGATAATTCGCCCACTGGATTAACAGAATCAGCTTTGCCAAAACGGCTTTTGCAAATCCTTTTGAACTCCACCCAACTCAGTTTGCCAGTAGCTAAGCGCCGGAGATTGGTGTTCCAATGATAAGTCTGACCCGTTAAAACAAATGTGGCCTGGCGAATTCTGGCCTCATCACTAAAGATCCTCTAATCTGTAAAATAGTCATCACACTTCTGCAACCATTCAACAGCATTCGTTGTACCATCATAAGGTGGAAACTCCATCTTTGCAGTAGAAAAACCACGACTTTCTGGACTGAGACCCCTTTCACGATGAGTATCATAACCCTTTTTCCTTGTTCTTTCTTCTGTCACCCGAAAATCACCATGAGAAGAAGCTTGTTGATGATCGTAGATGGTGTTTCCTATTTGTGTCAGTCTCCAGTCACCACGACCGTCTGCGTGACGAGTTCCTCGCTCCTTGCCCACCGGCCCTTGGGGCCATGGTCCACCAGAGAATGGAGAAGTTGGCTCTTCCCTTATCTTAGCTTCTCCTCCGTGTAACAATTGAGATACGGCTGGCGTGTGACTTGTGGCTCCTGCTTCTGGAGACGTAACCACTTTTTGCCCCTTTGTTTGATGCATTATTTCCACATCGGAGAGATCTGCAGTTGTGAATTTGACCACGTTTTGTTTTCTAGGTTGTCCATGAGCTGCAGTCAATGCATCAATAGAAGTTTTTTGGCTCCTGGATTCTTCTTTAAGTGCTTGGGATTCTTCTTTAAGAGCTCTGGTTTCTGCGGCAAGGTTCTTGACTTCAACCGTGAAGTTGTTCATATGCTCCATGATGAGCGCCAGCTGCGCTGCAAGAGACGCGTTGTCCGTCATCGGATCGAGAGTCTCTGATACCAAATTGATATGAGCCTGATGTTTGCGTTTTCTGATGTTGTTTGTTGTCTTCGCAGGACCGTCCAGGCGAGCGAGACCGAACGGCGAACTCAAGGAGAAGTTTAGGCTGCTGAAGGAGCTTAGCCATCGATTGTGGCCTGAGGTAGTGGCGGCGCTTGAGAAGAAGAAGCAAGAGAGGAAAGATAAGAGGGAGGGAAAAGACAAATCTGCCATCCCTGCGACTCCGATATCTAGTAAGCGTTTGCTTCTTTTCTTTTTTGCTTGGTTCTCTTCGGGTATCTTAATGTTTTGCTTTGTTTTAGCAGCGAAGCCATCCCGTTCTAAGAAGAAATCGATGGGTCTTAGGAAGAGAGCGGCCGTGCCTATTGACGACGTTGTCGTTGCTTCCGAGCCGGCGCCAAAAAGAAAAGGGTCGAGTCCCCCAGACTGAGGGATTCTCCTCCTTCTCCCCTTCGGAGCTCTTCCATTGCGTCGCGTACGAGGTAAGTCGCCTATTGATGGATCTTCAGGAGATAGGAATTCCGATGTTAATCGTGGACGTTCTTTGCAGGGCTTCGACGAGGAAAGCCTCGACTTCTGTTCCTGAGGGCGTTCCGGAGCAAGTGATCGAGCTTGACTCTCCTCCTTCCTCGGACCATGACGAGTCTTCCCATCACGATGAGAGTGCTTCTCATCACGATGATGGTTTGAGGACTCCGGCGCGTGGTGGTTCGCCTTCTAAGGGGGATGAGTTCCTCACCCCTGGTGGTGGCGTTCCCTCCTCTGACCGGCGTGATCGTGGTGGTTTCGAAGGAGGGGAATCATCTCGGCGTCCAGGTGAGAATGATGAGGCGGTGTCTCGTCACTCGGAGGCGGGTGGTTTTGCTCCTGGCTCGAACCTCGGTGCTGAGGGTGGCGCCGGAATCCAGGATGGTCCTGAGGGATCCTGCGTTCCGTGGTGGAATGGCGGGAGTCCTCTTATGGAGGACCAGGATGCTTGCGGAGGGGCGACTTGGATGTCTAAAGTTCATCCCGGCTTGGGGATTCCGCGTGAGGAGCTCACCTTTAGGACCGATTTCGACGAAGCTGCTCAACATCATATTATGTCTGGCGGGAAGTTCACCGCGTTGGTCCAGAAGTACGAGACGGCGCTTCGGGCAGCTAAGGACGAAGCCTTTGTGTTGCGGCGAGAGCGGGAGATGGCCAAGGATGTCGATACAATGGTGGCTGATTTGCAGCAGGATAAACTGGTGCTTGAGTCGAAGGTCGCGGCGCTGAACAGGGAGATAGTGAAGACTCTCGGACTCCAGGAGGTAGCAGACAAGCTGAGGGCTCAAGTGAGTGATCTGGAGGAGAAGCGCGTCGGGATGCAGAGGCTTCTGCTGCTGAGATGGAGCGTCTCCGACGGTCTCGTCGAGAATCGGTCGAGGCGGCTGTGACTCAGGTCTTCGACTCGGTGAATGACTGGTATGCTCCTCGCCTCCATCGCTTGTCGGAGTTCGTCGCGCAGCGGGACATGGTTGAAGCCGCTGTGGGGAGGAGGCAAGTCGACGAAGCTCTCCTCAACTTTGTGAAGAAGATTCGGGGAGTGGATCTGAACTTCGACGCGATGGAGGAGAAGCTCGCGGCTAAGCTGGCGAAGAGTATCGCGGATGGGGATGCGATTGACGAAGTTGTTATCGATGATGATGACTTCGCTCCGCCTAACAGGTGAGATTTTTGCTTCTCTTTCGTTATGTCGTGCTTTGCGTAACGTATGTTTGCTTATGTGTTTGCTCTGCTTTTGTAGCCTTAAACGGCTGGTGCTGCCGGGATCTCCTTCTCGTCGAGATGGTGGTGGTGCGGATCCGGGTGCGGGACCCTCTACTTCTGGGGCCAAGTCTGCTTAGGCCCCATTTTTATTTGTTTTAAGACTTTTCTGGCTGCGGCCTTTTTGTTGTAATAACATTGCCTGGGAAGGTTTTTATCCGTATGCTTTAGGATTTGTGCTTCAGATTTATGCTAGATACTCAAGATGTTTTAAGTATTGATTTTTTTTTTGCTTGCGTGCTTGCGTGGTGATGCGGTCACGGCTTTTAGACATAATTGATTAGTTCGCAGCGCAACGAAAGTAATCCGGCTTTTGGTTATGTCTTTTAATAAAGGACGATGGTGTCGTCAACCGCATAAAATGAATTAAGTACTTGGTCGTCACCGAGTAGGAAATTCGATTATCGGGATGACTCGTTACCTTTAAGTGTATCACGACATGGTGCGCGTGATGGTGCTAGTGCGTCATGACTGACGCGATGCTTTCGGGTTTCGTCATGACTTCTCATTCGAGACACCGACCGGCGCGTATTAGGTCTGTGTGCTTAGGATGTTAAACCTACTTTCAGCGACGAGCTCTAGAAACTCGATTTATGCTTCCGACTTCAAAGCTTCGTGCGGGTGACGAGGTAGCGGTTTTTCGCTCGTCCGACGAACTGAGAGCCGTGCGAGGTGCGTGCTCTCGGCTTAATGAATGGGTGATCAGTCCATGTTTTTAGGGTGCAAAGTGCAAGTGCTTATTGAGTTTGCCTCAATAACTTGGTTTGACGTCAAACGGGTGCGTGCTGGGTGTCGACAAGTTTCAGCTTATGCCAGAATGAGGCGCGCTTGTCGAGAGAAAAGGTTTTAATAAAATTAAAATTTTATTAAGTATTATAGCTGCGCCCTTGTGAGAAAGGCTGCCTACGTACCCGTGCCGGGATCAAGCCATTCGTAGTTCGTTACAAATGTTCATGCCGTGGACATGTTTTTTTTTTTGGCTAGCGCGGTGCTTCGCGTCTAGTCATGGAACTTGCGCAGATCCGACGAGCTCCAGAGGCGATCGGACGTGGTGCCGAGGTTGTCTTCTAGCTGATAGATACCTGGTTTGACGACTTTCGCGATGCGGAATGGTCCTTCCCAGTCGGAAGCCGAATTTGCCGAGACCATAGATCGTATCATCATCGGTTTTGCAAAAGACGAGGTCGTCTAATGCGAAACGGAGGTGTTGCTTTAGGAAAGCGGCTGCTAGATCGTCGAAGCTGTCGATGGAGTCGGCACGGAGGTTGCTGAACCATGTTAGGGCGTCGCCGCGCAAGTGTTCGGCGAGGGCTTGGCAGAAGTGCGCGCTTTGTTCTTCCGGCGATGTGTATTTCTGTCTTCTCATGGCCGTCATGAAGGATGTGATCCACTGCTTGGGATCTTCTCGGCCGTCGTAGAAGTTTAGGTGTAGTGAAGCGCGCTTCTTCAGTGGTACCTCGGATAGGCGGCTTGTCAGGGGAGTTCTTCGAATATCGGCAATGATCTCGAATATCTCCTGATCGGAGAACGAGCATTGCGGGGGTGCATGGCGATCAGTCTTCGCGCGATTCTCCATGTTTCTCCTGGTCTCGTCATCGTAGACAGGGGTCGTCTCGGCGAGGGAGAGATTCGTGATGGCACCTTGGTGCTTTATGCGTGGACTTCTCCGGGCGAGAGGATGATGACTTTCTCTTGTTTCTTAGCCGGAACCGAGGATCTTCGGGGTCGAACCGTAGCTGCGGGATGTCTTGCTCGAGGCGGATGTAATTCTCAGCGCGAAGGAAGGCGTCCTTCAAAGTTGGGGAGGGGCGGATGCGGATATCTTCCCAGAATCCGGATTCGTATCGAAGTCCGTTTCCGAGGGCTTGGACGAGTACCGGTTCCGCGATTGGGGGTGCTCCCGGAATGTCCCTGAGGTCGAGCAGCGCACTCTTGAATCTGTTCAGGTAGCTTCGTAGCGGTTCGTCCTCGAGTTGCTCCATCTCGAATAGATCGGAGAGATCCTTGTGTTTAGTGCTAAAGCTGGACCTTAAGTCGGATTTCCAGGCGGGCTCGGAGTTCCTTTGCCGATGGATCGGGGGATCTGCATTCTGCGTGTGGCGGCTCGTTTTATTGCGTTGGACTCGTTCGGTTCGTCGTCGATACTGGCTCGGTTATCATACAGGACGACGCGGTGCGGAGCTTGCGCTCGCGAAGGAAACATGATCTCGTCACTCTTTGATCTCCACGTAAGGTGAAAATTCCAGAGGGTATCGGAAACTTCACGCATTGGTGGAACGTCGAGATGACAGCTTTCATTTCATGGAGCCATGGGGTGCCGAGGATGCGTTATAGATGGCCGGTTTGTCCATGACGATGAACTTCAAGAGCTTTGAAATTCCGCCGACATAAACGGGGAGCCGGACTGTGCCACAGCTGTAAACATGCTCGGCGGTGAAACCGGTGAGGGGACGGGATGTAGGTTTGATAGATCCTTCCTCCACTCCCATGCGGTTCAGTGTTTCCAGAAAGATGAGGTTCACCGTGCTCCCGGTATCAACCAGGACCTTCGCGACGTCACAGTCGTGGATCTGTAGAGTGATTACGAGTGGGTCGAGGTGAGGGATGTCCAGCCCGCTCGCATCCTTATCCGTAAAGGAGATGTAGGGATCCCTTTATGGATATACGGGTAGCGTTGTGCCGCGACGGCCTTTCGTTCGTATTCCTTGATCGCCGATATGGAATCGTCGTTATCCAGGAGGCCTCCCATGATCATGCTGACTTGTCGCTTCGGTGGTGGAGGTAGGTCGTCGTGGTCATCACGATTCCTTTTCCCAAGCGGGCTTCCGCTTTTCTGCATCCTTCCTCGGACGGGGTTGTCGTCCGCGCTTCTCCTGCTGCCCAGATTTTGGTGGTTTCGGCGGGAAGCTTTTTCCTTGGGACCTATCACCGTCCATTGGCGGGATTTCTCCTCGATGGTACATGCGCATGAGGTTGCTCATTAGGTGTTTGCAGTTTTCAGTGGCGTGGCCAGTTCTCCCGTGGAACTTGCAGAAAGCTTTGGTATCGTTGTCATCTCCGAGCGAGTTGATGTCTTGTGGCATCGAAACGGCCGCTGCGTGTTCTTGCTCGAACTCGTCGTCGGCTGCTGCGAACGCTGTGAGGAGAGACCTCTTCGGATCGTGTCTTCTTCGCGCCTCCATGGGTTCCTCTCTGGGTTTCGTCGAGGTTGCCCTCCTATCTCCATGTTTCTCGGCGTAGAAGCGCTGGTCTTCCTCGAGGAAGATGTAGTTCCGAGAGCGGTGGAACGCGTCCTCCAGAGTCGCAGGGGGTTTTAGTGACAAATCCTCCTTAAACTTGGAGTCGTACCAGAGGCCGTTGCGGAGTGCTTCCAGCGGGACGCTATCGGGCATGTCGCCAGTGTCGCGAGCTGCTTGTTTGAACCTTTCCATAAAGCTGCGCAATGGTTCGCCTTGGGTTTGCGTTGTGGTGAACATGTTCCGAGTGATTCGGGTCATGTGCATGGAGTAATGCTTCAGAAAAGCATTGGTTAGGTCGTCGAAGTTATCGATCGACTCGGCGGGGAGGTTAGAGAACCAGGTCAAGGCATCTTTCGCCATGTGCTCGACGAATACTTGACAGTAGTTGGCCTCCCTTTCATCGTAAGATTTGTATTTCTCCCTCCTCATGGCGAGGTTGAACGCGGTTAGCCACTTCTTGGGGTCTTCTTCGCCGGTGTAAGAGTCGATTTTGAGTCGAACTCTTTCGTGTAGCTCAATCTGGCGGAGCCTGCGGGTGAGCGGGCTTCTTCGGGTGTCGGCGAGTGCTTTCGTCAATTCCGGAGCTGAGCTGGTGGCGCGATGAACTTTCGAATCGACCTCGTCGAGGCGACGATTCACCCGTTCGAGCTCTTGGGTGGTAAGTCGCCTGAAGTGCGCAGGACGGGGGGTTGTTCCGTCAGTGGGACTTGACGGATCTTCATCGTCTTCTCGTGCTAGGGCTTCCACCTGTTCCTGAGTCTTTTTCTGCTGTGCTCGCATTGACTCGAAACCGTCGGCGAGTGGCTTGACGAGATTCTCCATGAGTTTGAGGATCTTCTCGCTCGAGGAGGATTTCTTCGAGCTGCGGGGTTTGTCGCTCGAGGAAGATTTTCTCGAGCGGCGTGGTGCGGACGGAGGGGGCTCTCGTCCTTTCTTGGCGGAGGAGATCGTTGCGGCGAAGTCGATCTTCGCGGCGAGACGGATCTCTGTGGCGAGAAAGATGGGTTTCTTGTAGGGACAGGCTTGTCCCTACCTTCAGCGGGTAGCGACTTGTCTATCGTGCTGGTAGACTGTCGCTTAAGTTTTCTTCTGAGGGAGACGGGCTCCCGGTGGGAGTGTTCTCTTTCGAGTTCGCCATCGTTGCTAGTTCGTGAAAATCTAGATATCTTCGAGATGAATAGCGAGAAGCGTTTCCAGCCCCACGGTGGGCGCCAATTGTTGAATCCGAGATAGCACTCGTCAAGACGGGCTATCTAAGATGTGAGTTTAGGAAACTGGAACGCTTAATTCGACTCTTAGATTATCAAGAAGATTACAAGAGAGCAATCTCGCTAACAAGCCTAGCGAGATTATGGTGATGAACAAGAGGATAGAGTAAAAGCTAATGTGAAGAGCCTAGTGATTCTAGATGATTTCGGATCCCTTTCTCCCCAATGGGGGGTCTTCAATATATAGGTTGATAAGTCGGCCGAATGATGAATATTCTCCTTCAGGCGAGATGGAAAACTTCCTCTTTTGCGATATGGAAAATCCCTCTTGTTTTTGGATCTTTCTCCATTCTTTAAGTCGGCATGAAGATTTATTTACATTTCTCCATGGATTGTGCCTTTCTCTTCAAGTCTTGCCTTTTTCTTGAAGATGTTAGGCCTAAAATCGGATTGGGCTTTGTACTTTACTAATGATGACGGGCTCAGGGAAATGTGCTAATTTCTCCTCTAACAACTAATATTAGAGAATGGAAGATCTGATGTAAGAAACTGATGTATGAATCGACCAAGACATATGAACATACCTCATCTTCTTGAAGTAATGTGTTCAATATGTTATTTCTAACGTAAATCTTCTTCGATTAATTAAGAACACAACTAGAGAATCTCTTCTTCTCGCTTGGTTTTATGAATATAGCACGTTTCATTCTCTTGGTTTCAAAAGCTCGATCGAAAATCTTCTCTTTTTATGCCGGCTTTGTACTCTTTCCCTAATGCTCGATCGAATCGAAGGCATTATGGACTGTCCGAACAAGAAGTTATTTTTTTATATTCTTCTGTTGCTGTTACAATTTTAGGGTTATTGTTCAAATTTTAATTTGGGGTTGGTTTCATTTTCATTTGTGTCATCTCGGCCCAATTTATTTTTGTTAAGCCCACGATCATGTTTTAAACAAAAAATCAACAGTATAATTAGTACAGAAATATCAATCTTTTTTTTTTTTTTCTTTTTTTGAAAATATCAATCTTTTAATGATTTTTTTTGAAAAGTTTGGAATTATAGCCCACGATTTGTGGAATTTTCTGCATTAACTTTTTCTAGGCTTGATTTGTTTTTGGGGTAAAAATATCTACAATGTCTAGCTTTTTCTCTTAACACTGTTGTACTCTAGCGAAAAAGCTAGAACAATGGTGATTCTATCAAATTACATCTAATTACTACAATTTTATATTTTAAGTCTGCTAAGTATGCTAAATTTCACATAAAAAGGAAAATAACTGACCAGAAACAAATATTATAAAAGGAAGGAAATCTCATTAGCTTTTATCTTTTTCACCTAATGACAATTTTTTTAAAAAGTTTACACTTTCCATATTTGACTTCTCTTAACACTGTTATACTCTAGCGAAAAAGCTAGAACAATGGTGATTCTATCAAATTACACCTAATTACTACAATTTTATATTTCAAGTCTGCTAAGTATGCTAAATTTCACATAAAAAGGAAAATAACTGATCAGAAACAAATATTATAAAAGGAAGGAAATCTCATTAGCTTTTATCTTTTTCACCTGATGACAAATTTTTAAAAAGGTTTGCACTTTCCATGTTTGACTTTTCTTAAAAGTTGAATAGAGTAACGGTTGCTGACTTGCTGTCCACACACACACGAAAAAAAAAAGTTCAAAGAGTAACGGTTGCAAAAATAAAATAAAAATAAAGATTAAAAAAAGTTGTAAAACTGAGATTCTCACTGGCATCGTCAGATATCAAAAACAATTGACTGGGCAGAATCCATCCAAATGTAAACAACACGTGTAATGTAACAGTCACTATCTTCCCTTTTCTATGTTTCCTTACATAACTTTCTATGCTTTTCCATGTTGTATTTTTATTTTACTCTTTTAAAATTAAGTTTCCTTAATTAACATTGGTTTTTGGGCAAAAGAAAACAAACAAACAAACAAACAAACATTTGACTAAACTTATGTAAAAACAGTATTATATTAAGGGACAACTTAGTGTCAATTCTTTTTTTCTTTTTTTTCTTTCCAGCTTGGGATTGTCCGAGGACTAAAAATAATTATATCTCATTAATTCATTGATTTTTTTTTGTCGAAAATACACGTAAGTCGTATTTGCATATTGATGATCAGATTATTGGGTATTTCTTCCTCATGTCAATTTTGAATTACATGTTAGTAAAAACACTAATAAAAATAATATATTCTATGAAAGTACAGTATACGTTATCGATAGCACAAGTATAACCTATACTTTAACGATAGTACAGATATAACTAATACTTTCATAAACTGAAGTATACTTCATATAACAAAAAATAACTATTAATTTGATTTCACAGAACTACAATTAATATAACCTTTTCAAAAATTTGTTTCATATGTACGAATATACAATTTAGCTGAAAGATTCGATTCATAAACCACGTAAAGACAATATATAACTAATTTATCCGGTGTCGTTATTATAAAGAACAAAATTGCTATTTTATTAAGAATTTATACTAATTCTATACATTGTAGCACCGTTATACAATTTAGTTGTAAGATTCGATTCATAAACTGCGCAATGACAAAATATAACTAATTTATTTGGTGTCGTTATTTTAGAGAACAAAATTGCTATTTTTTAAAAGATTTTATACCAATTCTATACATTGCAGCACAGCTATACAATTTAGTTGTAAGATTCGATTCATAAACTGTGTAACGACAAAATATAGCTAATTTATTTGGTGTCGTTATTTTAAAGAACAAAATTGTTATTTTTTAAAAGATTTTATACCAATTCTATACATTGCAGCACAGCTATACAATTTAGTTGTAAGATTCAATTCATACACCATGTAACGACAATATATAACTAATTTATTCAGTGTCGTTATTTTAAAGAACAAAATTGCTATTTGTTAAGAATTTATACTAATTCTATACATTGCAGCACCACTGTAAAATTTATAATTTAACAATTTATCATAATTTGTATGATCTATTTTACATAGATTTATAATTTATATATTAAAAAAATGTTAGTTAGGCTTGATATTGAGTATATTGGTAATTCTACTGGTATATTAGTGAAGTACTGATTTGTCAAATACTATATTGATTTCTTTATCGTAAATATTTTATAAATAAATAAATTTAAGGAAACAAAAGTTTTAACCACGTGGCATTGAAAAGATAAGGTAGTCAAAACCTTCTTCTCACGTTGTGCATATATATATGGTAGTGTTCTCGGGTATATCTACCTCTTTTCCAATTTCCATATCTCTGAAATTTCTATATGAAAAAAGGTTTTGATTCCTCTGTAGACAACTGATCAACGAACAGCTCTCGTTTTATGTTTGTTTATAATAGGTATTTTATTTCAATTTCTTTGTATTTCAGCTCTGTTGCAATCCAATCCTACATTGTTCAAAAGAAAAAGTCCCTTTTAGGGTTCTTTCTAGAAAAGAGTAGAGTACCATCCTGATTTTCAATTTATAATCTTCTGTATATTTCTGATTTCTTCGCTGTCTTCAGTATATGAATTTCTTTTAATTACAAGTACCATATTGATTTTCAGTATATATATAATCTTCTGTATATCTGATTTCTTCACTGCCTTCAGTATCATATTGTTCGAGATAGTTCTTCAAAATTGATTTTTTTTTCCACTGCGTTCAGTATATGGATTTTTTATATATATGTGATTTTTTCACTGCCTTCAGTATCATATTTTTCGGGATAATTCTTCAAAACTGAATTTTCTTTTTCGACTGCCTTCAGTATATTGATTTTTTATATACATGTGATTTCTTCGCTGCCTTCAGTATCATATTGTTCCAGATAGTTCTTCAAAATTGAATTTTCTTTCTCGACTGCCTTCAGTTTTGTTTGTTTGTTAAAACACAGTTTATGGCACAAAATTTTATTCTTATTTAGTTTTGGTTTATATTTTTCTGTTTCTCTGTGAATGTGAATTGTCAGTTTCTTTTGTTGCATATATATTTACGTATTTTGTTATTCATATATTGATGTAAAACAATTTGTCAGAATTATCAATGTTGTCATTTTGATGGATGAATTTGGTTCAAGTTCATGTTATTAGATTCTAAGCAAGCTTTTCCTGTATATATATGTAGATTTGTTTTTCAGAGAGACTAACTAGGCACAGCCGATTAATTTATTATCTAATCACAATAGTTTCAATTTGATCTCATCCCCTTAATTTAACACTTCATCTGATGTTTAAAGTCTAAGTAGCATGCAAATGGTTCAGATTTATAAAATTTATATGGAAAGAGTTGTTGTACTTATCAAGTTACTCAAGTACATACATGTATATTCAATTTTTGAACTTCATACTTTTTTTTTTTTTTTTTTGTTAACATACTTATCGATCTTCTCAGTTAAAAAAAAACAGTCACTATGGATTCCTATGACGATCTCTTTGACGATCAGATGTTCCAATTCAGTCCTTTGCGCCTTTCCCCTCCACCACAACCATTTACTGCGACAATGGTATATTTTTTTTTTAATTTATAATTATTTGTTTCTCGCGTTTTAACTTCTACATCTATATCAAATCTCTTTTGTGGGATAAACTGATCATACTATTAAAACTGTTAAATTTCTGTTTTTTAAACTGTTAATTTTGTGCAATGTAAAGGAATCTTTGGAAGGCCTAGTAGTGGAAGAAACTGAGAGAGTGGACGAAGATATTGTTGCATTAGTCTCTAATCCTACAATAGACGAGGTTATCCCCTCGACGAGTACACGATCCCCAGATCTATTCCCATTTCCAGAGATGTTAACACTACTGCAAGATCCACCTGAAATGGTATGTTACTTACATTTTTGACAGAAATAAGATCTTTACTCTATGTCATCAAAACTAAACCATTAATGAAACATATTTATCATTTAATCTAAGCAGGAGCAACAACAACTCTTATGCAATTCCCACGAGCATTTACAAGGAAACTTGCCAAACGAACCATTGGACCAGCAATCTTTATCAAATCAAAATGCCCTTAATGCTTTTCAAGGACTAGATGATTTTACAATGGTAAATTAAGCCCTTTATATTAATTTTTCAACCATTGGCTTCTTTTTAATTAGTTTTGATGAATGTATATTCATGAGCCAGATAGATTTTGATCAACTAATGGAGGAAGAAAACATTGGATATGCAAATCCAACAGTGACTCAATCTTTTGAGTTACCAAATAATCTTCAAGAGCAATTTCCATCAGTACCTTTGTAAGTAACTTACTAATAAAAAATATAATATTTTGTAATTTTTTCTTACCGATTAACAGATCTCAGCCTGGATGTTATCTTCATGAAAAACAGATCACAAAGTTTCCCGTCATATCCGACATACCAACATGCTCCAGTTGCTTCACATTCCAACATGTATAATCAGCAACCGCCTCCATTAGGTTTAGCTGACAGAGAAAACGAACCTATCGCCCCAAGGATGGTTACAGATTTGGCTAGGTATGATTATTAATCTATAAACAAACTTAGATATTACTTAACTCCAGTATAACATGAGAACTCTGGCAAAAAAAAAAACAATTCGAAAGATTGAAACCTTTGAGTATAAAGAAAAATATAGAAGATCTTAGAAAAAAATAGCGAGATCCTATAACCATTAAACATTTTTTCTTGTTACTTTGAATTTATATTTTAATCTTTGATTTTTTTTTGTAACAAAATAGAAGAAGAATATAGAAGATCTTTAAAAAAGTTAAGAGATTCTAGCCAATATTGAACACTCTTTCTTGGAGTATTGCTTTGGCTTTACTTTTCCTGGTTGGATTTTCTTGATTATATCCTATGAGAAACATGAGCTATTTATAGGCCGCAAGTCTGCAAAGCTGCAAATATATCACAAATTAAGAAGTTTCACCATAATACCCTATATATCTAGTTAAAATTTTGTAGAGTTTTCTACACTAAGAGATATTTTTGTTGTATATAAATTTATATAAAATCTTAAGGAGGTGATAATCAATATCTAGAAATTTTGGTCTAATTTTGGATTTGATCCAATAAGATTGTCTTTAACTCTTTAATCATCATTTTTTTTTTAATATGAGTTTATCTTCAATATGAATGCAGATCACAAAATTATTCGTCATATCCGACATATCCACATGGTCAACTTCCTTCACAATTCAACATGTACGACGTCCTGGACCATCAAGCGCCTCCTTTAACAAACAAGGAAGACGCACCACCTCTCATCCCAAGGGTAGTTACAGACTTGCCTAGGTAAGATCGATGGTCAATTCCCAAGGATGATTACAAACACTAATACTATATAGTAATACCCACTAATATCAAATAAACCGAAAGATTAATCCTTTAAGTATGGAAAAGAACATGGAAAATCATAGAGAAATTAGGAGACACATGAGATAACTAATGAAAATACGCTTTCTTATTGATTTGAATTTGATTTTTTTTTTATTTGGATTCACTTGATTACAAAATAGGAGGTATGGGCTATTTTTAAGCTCCAGAGTTGCAATATCTTAAAGTCTTATCCTAATCTCTAGAGATGTTTACCATAATATTTAGCTATATACAATATGTTATTATATATTATATTTAATTAATTTTCTACCTTCAAAGTCTAGATTTGTTTCCTATAAAGCTGTCCAATTTGTTTCTTTAAAAGTGATAACCTTCCAAAATATTTGTAGAAAAACCTTTATAGGTTAGATTTAGCTTTAAATTTAGACTAATGGAAAACTTCTATTTATATATAGTATTTATTGAAAATAGTATTGAAATTTATAAGCTTGAGCCAAATATAGCTTATAGATTTTAATACTACTTTCCAATAATATTTTATAAAAGTAGAATTTTTTAATGAAAAATAGTGAGAAAATAGTCACTTAAATTAGGATTTCACGTAATTAAAAATCATTATATACGTGTTCATCAAAATGATTTAAGATAGTTTACAGTATCATTTGCAATAGACTACATCTATTTTTCTCCGAAAATGTATATTTGCTTCACATAAATTTTAAAGTTGTTTAATAAAATTAATGTATAGTTTATTAATTAAATCATTTGGGTTCATCATGCAGCACTCCTCTACAAAATCAAATTTCTATGACCCAAACTCTACCGCAAGTGTCGTCAAGCTCTACCAGGTACCAAGTCTTAAAAGAGTCGACTAATTAATCCAGTGAAATCATTCTACATGCGATCATCAAAATGGTCTAAGATAGTTCACAATATATAATTAGTCACAAAACACAGATTTTTACACCGCAAACTATTTGTAATAGACTATATCTACTTTTCTCCGAAAATATATATTTGTTTCACATAAATTTTAAAATTGTATACTAAGATTAATTGTATAGTTTATTTACTAAACAATTTGGGTTTATCATGCAGGACTCCTCAACAAAATCAAATTTCTATGACCCAAACTCTACCTCAAGTGCCGTCGAGCTCTACCAGGTATTAAGTCTTCACACAGTCGATCAAGTAAAATCAATCTATACACTATCGTCAAAATGATCTAAGATAGTTCACAACATATAATTAGACGCAAAACACATATTTTTACTCGACAAACTATTTGCAACAGATTAAATCTATTTTTCTTCGAAAATGTATATTTGCTTCACATAAATTTTGATAATGTATACTAAAATCAATGTATAGTTTATTTATTAAATAATATGGGTTCATCATGCAGATTTCCTCAACCAAATCAAATTTCTATGACCCAAACTCTACCTAAAGTGCCATCGAGCTCTACTAGGTATAAGTCTTAACACATTCAGTTAGTTTTTCCAGTGAAATCATTCTATACAATATTATCAAAATGATTTAATTATAGTTTACAGTATATAATTAGTCGCAAACACAGATTTTTATCTATTTTTCTCCAAAAATGTATATTTGCTTCACAAAGAGTTTAAAATTGTATAATAAAATTAATGTATAGTTTATTTATTAAATAATTTGGTTTATCATGCAGGACTCCTCAACAAAATCAAATTTCTATGAGCCAAGCTCTACCTCAAGTGCCATTGAGCACTACCAGGTATTAAATCTTAACACAGTGGATTAGTTGATCAAGTAAAATCAATCTATACACTATCATCAAAATAATCTAAGATAGTTCATAACATATAATGAGTGGCAAAACACATATTTTTACTCCACAAACTATTTGCAATAGATTATATTTATTTTTCTTCGAAAATGTATATTTGCTTAACATAAATTTTCAAACTGTATAATAAAATTAATGTATAGTTTATTTATTAAATAATATGGGTTCATCATGCAGATTTCCTCAACAAAATAAAATTTCTATGACTCAAACTCTACCTCAAGTGCCAACGAGCTCTACCAGGTATTAAGTCTTAACACATTCAATTAGTTGATCCAGTGAAATCATTCTATACACTATCATCAAAATGATCTAATTATAGTTTACAGTATATAATTAGTCGCAAAACACAGATGTTTACTCCACAAACTATTTGCAATAGACTATATCTATTTTTCTCCCAAAAATGTATATTTTCTTCACATAAATTTTAAAATTATATAATAAAATTAATGTATATTTTATTTATTAAATAATTTGGGTTCATCATACAGGGCTGCTCTACAAAATCAAATTTATATGAGCCAAGCTCTACCTCAAGTGTCGTCGAGCTCTACCAGGTATTAAGTCTTAACACAGTCGATTAGTTGATCAAGTAAAATCAATCTATACACAATCATCAAATGAAGATAGTTCACAACATATAATTAGTCGTAAAACACATATTCTACTCCACAAACTATTTGCAATAGATTATATCTATTTTTCTTCGAAAATGTATATTTGCTTCACATAAATTTTAAAACTGTATAATAAAATTAATGTATAGTTTATTTATTAAATAATATGGGTTCATCATGCAGATTTCCTCAACAAAATCATATTTCTATGACCCAAACTCTACCTCAAGTGCCATCAAACTCTATCAGGTATTATGTCTTAACACATTCAATTAGTTGATCCAGTGAAATTATTCTATATACTTTCATCAAAATGATCTAATTATAGTTTACAGTATATAATTAGTCCCAAAACACAGATTTTTACTCCACAAACTATGCAATAGACTATATCTATTTTTCTCGGAAAATGTATATTTGCTTCACATAAATTTTTAAATTGTATAATAAAATTAATGTATAGTTTATTTATTAAATAATTTTGGTTCATCATGCAGGACTCCTCTACAAAATCAAATTTCTATGAGCCAAGTTCTACCTCAAGTGCCGGCGAACTCTACCAGGTATCAAGTCTTAACACAATCAATTAGTTGATTCAATGAAGTCATTCTATACACTATCATCAAAATGATCTAAGATAGTTCAAAGTATATAATTAGTCTCAAAACATATATTTTTACTCCATAAACTATTTCCATAGACTGTATCTATTTTTCTCCAAAAATATATATTTGCTTCACTTAAATTTTAAAATTGTACAATAAAATTAATGTATATTTTATCTATTAAATAATTTGGGTTCATCATGCAGGACATATCCTTTACAAAATCAAATTTCTATGACCCAACCTCTATCTCAAGTGTCGTCCAGTTCTACCAGGTATCAAGTCTTAACACAGTCTATTAGTTGATCCAATGAAATCATTATATACACATTCATCAAGATGATTTAAGATAGTTCATTGTATATAACATATATTTACTCCACAAACTATTTACAAATATTATATCTATTTTTCTCTGAAATGTATATTTTCTTTATTTAAATTTTAAAATTATATAATAAAACTAATGTATATTTTATTTCTTAAACAATTTGGGTTCATCATGTAGGACACATCCTCTACAAAATCAAATTTCTATGACCCAACCTCTAACTCAAGTGCCGTCGAGCTCTATCAGGTATCAAGTTTGGATACAGTTGATGAGATGATCTAAGTGAAATTGAGGGATAATAAAAGTTTTTGTGCTTCAAATATTTTTTTTAGATGAGATACTTTAGACTCTAAATCTATTATTTTTAGTCCTAATTTCGATAGGAATCAAGGAAACGTGCAAGAGCTAATAAATCAGCCTTCGTCAGGGTTTAGTTACCCTACCCTCCACACTTTTGCACAAATGGATCCAGGCACGAACTTATACAGTCCCCTACAGGTACCAAATTTTTCATTTTATGAATGAACCCATTTTTGTGATTATTTCGTTATTTCTTGTAAGTAGTTTAAAATAATAATAATTAAACATTAATAATAAATGAGATCGAAATAGAAAACTTGAAGGAAAAAAAGAAATAGATAACTGGAGGCCACAACAGTAGATGATATTTTAACTCAGATATTCTCGATGTTGAAAGAACAGTAAACAACAACAGACAGTGGCGGATCTAGAACATATTTCTGTATGGGGCACTTCTACTAATTACTAGATTGTACTAGAGAAATTTAAATGAATTTTATGCTAAATACTTGCCACACCCCCACTCCCTTCCTGCGTCCGCCCCTGACAACAGATATAGATATATATATTGTATATCTATAGGGACGACCTTTCATACAGTATAATTTATTTTAGATTAAAAATAAATTAGTATATATTTACTTCTTTTTTTGTTGATAATTTACTTATCAATTATTGATAATATGCATGCACATTACAGGACAGCACGTTGTTGAATATTCAAGTTAGATACCCAAATCACGTTGAGAATGGAGGATCATTATCTTCTCCCGGACGAAGAGTATTTTTTGTGATTTTTTTTTTTTTTGGTAGAAGTAATTTATAAACTAATAGTAATAACAAACAAGCTAGAAATAAAAAAATTGGAGGGTACGTTGGAAATGCTTCAACTCATATATTCTAGATGTTGAAAAGACAAAAAGGTATATATTGATAACATGCATGTACATTACAGATCAGCGTTTTGGGGCGTCGACAAAGAAATGACCAAAATCATACTGAGCATGGAGAATCATCATCTTCTGCTCAACGAAGGGTATATTACTTCTTAAAGTACACATAATTTAATGGAAAATAACAGTAAATTAATTTAATTTAACTAAATAATGCAGAGGATCGTCTCGCCAAAAAGAGATGATGCTTTACCTGCAGCCCCCGAAAGGTTTACTTTCTACCTATATTTTTCACATTTCCTTCATATTTAAATTTTGATGGACACACAATTCTTTGAACAAAATCAATATGTTTTTCTTTCTAAGTCAAAAAATGTTTTTTCAATAAAATATAACGGAAATGTTTAGATATTGGTTGCCAGTTAACTACACGATTAAGTATTTGTTTAAACGCCTAAACGGTTTGTTGCTTACAAATGTTTTTCATATACTTTATATATATATATATATATATATATATATATATATATATGTTGTTTTACTTTTAACCTAATAACTATTTCATTATCCGCTATTAAGAATTCTTTTTTGAGGAACATAATTAATCAGTGCTTTTACTCTCTTTTTTTCAGGCTAATAAATAAACTGTATGATCCAAAATATGAAAGCCTCCGTTTATATATTGATCCCCACTTGAGAAAATTCAATCTAATGTGAGGAAAAGGTAATTAATTCCCAGATTTTACCTTTAATATATTTAATAAATTAGACTTCCGATGGGTTTATTATATTTTGTATATATATTTTTTTTTTAACTTCTGTATTTATGAATTCTATTGATGATTCAGAACCAACTACAATATTAGTGATGAACTGAGTACTATTGTTCTCGCTACCTTTCAAGCCCATTGTGATCATTCATGATTTTCTTTTTCTTAATCTATATTCTATGAATCAAACTTAATCAAATTTTCAAAACTGTGATGCTTTCAGTGGAAGATGCATAACAAACCAGATTGGATCATTGGAGGCGCACAACTATATGGATTAACAATTGTAAATTATTAATGTATACTATATATTTATTTAAAAAGAGTTAGTTCCAGAAAGTAAGCATTTCAAGAATGGTAGAATATTTGAATTTTCAGGTATGATCCCTGATCCTTATTTTACGCATGTCCAAAAATGTGTTTATCATAACCTAAACTTTGAGAGAAAATGCATAAAAAAAATTTGTAAGTTGACTTTTTCCTGTATCCCCATCCAATGTCGACTTCGAAGTTTAATTTGTGGAAGCTCGCAAGTTTTCTGATCAGTATATCAACCGGAGTCTTAGTCACAGAGTCATTTCAATGCTATAAATCGATCATCAGCTTCGGTGATTCGATCTCCGACACGGGAAACTTCCTCCGTCTCTCCGACCCAAATAATCTTCCCGGAACCGCTTTCCTGCCTTATGGAGAAACCTTTTTCCACCGTCCCACTGGTCGTTACTCCGATGGCCGCCTCATCATCGACTTCATCGGTACACTACGTATACACGTTCACACTCATAATATATTTCTCTCAAAGAAAAGTTTCTATATATAGTATGAATTATTAGAATCATCACGATCACTTCTCATTCGAAAAGTGATATATTTCTCATAATATGATAGAATCATCACACTCATAATATATTTCTCTCAAAGAAAAGTTTCTATATATAGTATGAATTATTAGAATCATCACGATCACTTCTCATTCGATTAGAATAATAGGTCAGCACAATTTTACAGCTGAGTTCCTGGGGATACCTTACGTTTCCCCTTACGTTGGATACAATAATAAAAGCTTTGAGAATGGAATCAACTTCGCCGAGGCTGGAGCAACCGCGGTCGAGCCTGAGTTGCTTAGAGAGAAAGGAATCAATGCTGCTTTCACGACTAATGTAAGCTTGATTGTTATCTTCAAGGAGATTCTATGTGGCTTGCCTTCAGGTAGTTATTCTCACTGTAATACAATTTCTATCTTTAAAGACAATCAACAACCAAAAAACCGTGCTCACTTTGCTTTTAAGATTACAGAGACACTAAAAAACTCGCTGTTTATCATCTTCATAGTCTCAAGATTAACATGACCCAACCGTGCATGCCACTTACTTGATTCGCTGATCCCCTTTAGATGCAAGCACTTGATGGTATCATCAACATCCAAGAATACTTTATATAATCTATTCTTTGACCTAATGGTCTCCACAATGAGGTGACCGTACCGATCAAAGAGCTTGAGAAGATCCTCCTTCATTCGAACTTCACGACCTGCCTCTGTAGCTTGACCGAGGCTGATGATATTACTCTTTAGATCGGGGATGTAGTAGACTTCATTCAGCATCTTTCTTTGACCATCTTTAACTACAAACCGTATCGAACCCTTTCCTTTTATATCTATACGAGAGTCATCACCGAATCTAACTTTTCCCGTAATGGTCTCATCAAGATCTAGGAAGAAAGAATGATTTCCACTCATGTGGTTACTAGCTCCATTATCTAAGTACCACACATTACTCATGTCAAGCTCTGCTTCAAAGACTTTTGATTTCACCTTCTTCTCATTGAGAAACACTACTTCATGCATCATCAACATATCAGCTTCTTGTGACTCATCTTCTTTCTTCCTCTCCTCTGCTTCTTGTAGTTTAAGTAACCTATCAGGGCAGTCGGAGGCGTAATGCCCTTGTTGATCACATCGAAAGCACGTAATTCCAGCGAGATACTCTTCATCGCTCAACTCTCTAAAGTTTCCATCTTGATAGCCTCCGTTTCTTCCTCGACCTCTTCCTCTCCAATTAGAACGACCCCCTCGTCCTCTTCCTCTGTTACCACCGTGAGCCCCTTGGTATTGTTGTGGTGTGCCTGTGTTAGCAAACATTAGTTTGCTTGGATCGTCATGGTGCTCTTCTTCTTCTTTACCAATCTTTTCTTCATAGGCTTTTAATTTCCCCACAATATCTTCAAAGCTGGTCTTGTTAAGGTCAAGAACTTGCTCAAGAGCAGCAATAATGTGTATGAATCTTCTTGGAGGTAAACTATTGAGAAACTTTTTTACTAGTTTTGGTTCATCAATAGTTTCTCCAAGAGCAGCAGAGTTGGAGGAGATTTCCGAAAGTTTCCCTACGAACTCATCAATTGTATCACCTTCCTTCATCTTCATGGACCCCACCGTATGATTTGTGTTACTCAGCATCGGACACCGTACAGAAGGAGATCCACCTTCTTTTAAGTTGGTCTCAGCAATCCTAGAACCGCTGCTCTCAACGACTTCTTTCTTCTCGTTACTCATGGTGCACACGACTTCTTCTCAACACACCTTGTTAAGAATTTATGTGTAGGAGTTATTAGGAGTTATCTAATGGAAGGTCTAGAATGTTGTATGCTCATCTATATAAGGAGATACCTAGTTGTGGTATAACTTGTGAGATTGAGAGCTTAAGGTTTTGAGTAATTTTCCTTAAGATAATAAGAGAGTTATTCTTATTAAGCTTTGGTGTTCTTGATATCGTGATTCTATAATTGGCATCAGAGCAAAGTTCAGAGAAGTGGACCTGAAGAAGTAGGTGTGGGCACTACACATAAGGATGTGGGAAGATAGCCCTCAAGTTAATCTTGCGATTAGGGATGCCCAGATTCTTGAATAGAGTTCCGTAGAGGAGTTACGACAGCATAAGAAGGGAGCCTGATGCTGAATGTGTAGAAGAAAGATGCTGAATGAAGTCTACTACATCCCCGTGTCCAACCGTCTAACTAGTATGATATTGTCCGTTTTGGGTCCATGTATCTTAACCCTCACGGATTTGTTATTGGGCTTCTTCCCAAAAGGTCTCATACTAGTTAGGTGGGACACTACTTATATATTAGACACTTCTCTGTCTAACTTCTAATGTGGGACTTGGATTGATATCCAACAATGACTATATTGAGCTCAAAAATAAAGAATATAGCCATGTTAAATCCATAATTTAGAAACTAACTATGACCCACTTCTAATTGACCATTTGATCCTTCTCTTTGATTCTAAATAACTCTAATGCCATTATTACACAAATATTTCCCCTATTTCTTAACTTGAATATGAAAATATATACTATATATTGTTGCTAATGAAAATATATATAGTCACTCTATATAAACATACATAATAAAGAATATTATTCTATATACTAATTAGTAAATACTGAACCTAAACCCAAATACTAAACAATAAACCCTCAAAACTGAATCTAAACCCCAAATACTAAATACAAACCCAAACCTTCAAAACTAAACCCTAAATACTAAACCCAAACCCAAATACTAAACCCTAAACACTTAACTAAACCCCATATACTAAACCCTAAACCCTTAAAAAGTAAACCTAAACCCCAAATACTAAATACAAACCTAAACATTTAAAACAAAACCCTAAACCTTCAAAACTAAATCCTAAAGCTTCAAAAATAAACCCTAAATACTAAACCCAAACCCAAATACTAAACCCTAAACCCTTCAATAAGTAAAATAAAATGAGTAATACACACAAAAAAAAAACATAAATAGTCTTCTGTACTATTCTACATAGATTGTCTTCAGTACTATTTCATTATATTATTTTGATTTTTCTTAGAAGTATATTTGTATTTGATTAATTTTTTATCAGTTTTAAAAAATTTGAACTATGGAATATACAGAAGAAAATCTATATTTTTTTCAATGCTATTACGAATTTAAATTAGCTTTGTTTTTTAAGTATCAAAGCATATAAGATACAAGGGGGAAAGAAAAATAAAATAAATAAAAATGGAAAAGATGAAAAAGAGAAGAGGATGAATGGTGGTGACTGAACAAGGGTATGTGTAGTAATATTACATAAGATATACAGAATAGTCTAGCCATACTTTTGAAATGGTTAGATGGTGAATTATAATTTTTTTGGTTGTCATTTTTGCCAATTTCCCTAAAAAATTTCTCTGGGGAAAGAAATAATTGCTCTTTCCAACAACTATTTTTTCATAATATCACAAATAATTGAAAGAAACAAGATGACAGAGACCGGAGACCGTAGACCAAACCTTCGGGCCTCTCGCATGGCGTTTCTCGATTCTCCTATGTTGATGAAGCTCGTGGTCTTCTTTTCATCTACTCTTTTTGTGATCACTACAGTGAACTCGGAAACACAATGCCGGAATTTCAAGTCGATCATCAGCTTCGGCGATTCGCTTGCCGACACCGGAAACTTGCTCGGTCTCTCTGATCCTAACGCTCTTCCACACGTCGCGTTTCCTCCGTACGGAGAGACCTTCTTCCACAAACCGACCGGCCGTTTCTCTGACGGCCGCCTCATCATCGATTTCATCGGTACTTAGAACTTAGAACTTGTGACTAAGTGTGTACGAAGTTGAAATTGAAAAGATACATCTTCCGAACAATCCGGATCTAATCGAATCATGGACTTGGTTGTATTTGATTTCACCCTGCGTTAAAAAAAAACAAAAATCACTCTATGTGTTTGTGTTGTTAAGCCTTATTGGTTCTTGAAGCTAGAGTTGATTTCTATTGTTGCATCCACAGCTGAATTCTTGGGATTTCCGCTTGTGCCTCCTTTTTACGGATCTAAAAATGCAAACTTTGAGAAAGGAGTCAATTTCGCGGTGGGTGGAGCAACGGCAATGGAACGTTCTGTTCTTGAGGAGAGAGGGATTAATTTTGCTTACACCAATGTCAGTTTAGGTGTTCAGCTTACGAGCTTCAAAGAGAGTTTGCCTAAACTCTGTGGCTCTCCTTCAGGTAAATGAAAGATCATCTTCTTTTCTCTGTATTTGGTGTTTCCCTCTTTAGTATGATTAGAATGTCAAATCTGATTTCATATGCTACAATCATAGAGAATAGCATTTTTCAAGATTCTATATTCAGCTTTGGTTTATAACTAGTGAAAGTGACAGCAAAAAAAAGTAACCTCCAAGATGCAATCAAACGAGCTCACTTGTAATAACGGTTTACTTTGTGTTCTGTTTTTTTTCTCAGAGTGCAGAGATATGATCGAAAATGCTTTGATTCTCATGGGAGAAATTGGAGGGAATGACTATAACTACGCATTCTTCGTGAGCAAACCCGTTGATGAGATCAAAGAGATGGTTCCACTGGTGATCACCACTATTTCTTCTGCAATCAAGGTAAACATCAAAAGCACAAACTGTTCTGTGTTTTTTTTTTTCTTTTGTCTGAGGAACAACAAAAGGATTAAACTTGTATTATTTACAGGAGTTGATTGGTATGGGGGGAAGAACATTTCTGGTTCCCGGAGATTTCCCACTGGGATGCTCAGTGACGTATCTGACACTATATCAAACCACAAACACGGAAGCATATGATCCTCTAACAGGATGTTTGACATGGCTAAACGAGTTTTCACAATACTACAACAAGCTGCTTCAGGAAGAGTTAGTCAAACTCAGGAAGCTTTACCCTCACGTCAACATCATATACGCAGACTACTACAACTCTGTGTCACGCCTCTTCCAAGAACCAACCAAATATGGTTAGTCTTCTTCTTGATCTTGCTACTTTAACCTCTACACAACCAAGTTCATTGATTTGATTTTGCTAAACCGAGTCTAATCGTACAACCAGGGTTTGAGGCCAGACCTTTGCCCGCTTGCTGCGGTTTGGGAGGATCTTACAACTTTACATTTGGTGAAAAATGTGGGTTTGAAGGAGTTGAAGCTTGTAATGATCCTTCAAAGTATGTGAATTGGGACGGTGTTCATTTGACTGAGTCTGCCTACAGATGGATAGCTGAGGGTTTGCTTAAGGGACCCTATGCGTTTCCTCCTTTCGATTGGTCCTGCCTCACCTCTGAAATCAAGAACATTGGATCATCTGATACTCACAGTATTCTTTGATGAACAACTAATACAAGTTTGTCTGAAAATTTACTTTTTTTTGTCTTGTAGTCTGAGTTTCTGTGTTATTGTGATGATCAATAAAGTGGATAGCACTTGTGTACAGCCAGAGCCAAAAATACCTCCACCATCTACATCATCAATAACAAAAAAACCAGCACCAATGACGGTATCATTATAGAGCCAAGAGGCATTTATTTGAAAATCGTGTTTATTTTCTAGTTAATTCTATTATTTTTTCACTAAAACTATAACAGATCTAGTTGATTTTTTAAGAGCTGTTCTCAATGACCTTTTCTCTCTTTATGCCATAATTTCAATTGTTTTGCAACACCTGGATTCGTTTCTAGGCTACAATTTTTTTGGTGAGCGTTCATATAAAAACATAATATACAAAATGTTAGGTTTTTTTTTTTCAATATTTAGATTATAAGTTTATAACTATATAAAAAACAAATTGTTGACAAAGTTTCATTTCTTATTCTTGCCTTAAAAAACAAATTGTTGAAAAAGTTTCATTTCTTATTCTTGCCTCAAGCCTCTAAAGCCTTTGCACAACATCGTGGACAATTAGTTGCGCCATCCATCCCTCTATCTTGTTGGAACTATCATTTTCCTGCAAAAATTCTTAGTCAAAAAGTTACTCTCAAACCCCTCATCAATGATTTGTGTTACCACCAGTTACTCCAGACACAGAGATGTCATTGGAGAAGACGAATTCTCTAAGTTGAGAGAAGTTAATATCATCCATGCTAAGTTTCCCTCTACAGGGTTGTCGAGAAAGGAGAGTCATAACGAGTTATGGTATGGTTTCAACTTTCAAGACAATAACCTCCGCTCTGAAAGCAGCTCCAACCATTGCATCAAATTTGGTGTTAATTCCAGATTTTGTGTTTTGGTTTAACTTTTGTTTCTCATCTCCACCACAAAAGCCAAACCTCACATAAAAAAAAATATATATTATATTATTAAAATCTTGATTTAAAAAAAAAATTGTTGCATTTAAGATTTTTAATTATGTTTTTAATTTTAATTTTATGTGTTTAAGATTTTATTTGTATTTTATTATGTTTAAAAAAAATCAATCTGTCTTTAAATTAGTTTTTTTGTTCAATCTTATTTAATTAAAATTTTATATTTTAAAAATGTTTAAATAAAAAATATTTATGTCCTATTTATTTTCAAATTACAAATGTTAATCAATTGATTTACATTAATTTAATATTTGGTGTAGTGAATAGTGTACACCACCAAATTTAGTGATTTGGTGTAACTTTTAGTGTTTCATTCTTTAAGAAATTTCACAAAAGATTTGGTGTTTTGGTGTAAAGTTTAGGAGTTGGCCTAATCTAACACATGTCTTCTACAAGGTACCATTACTCAAGTCATGATCTCATTTATCTTT